GGTCGTTGATGAAGATATTGAACAAAGTGGGGGTCTGCTACAGGCCATCTCACCAGGAGGACAAAGCAGATAAGGTCCTATAGACAACAGGAGCAACTTTGTGTTCAAGCTCTGGTCCTCAGGGGGCATTTCAACCACCCTGATATCTGTTGGAGCGACAGCACAGGACACCAGCAATACAGGAGATTCCTGGAATGCATTGATGACAACTTCCTTCTACAAGTGGTGGAGGAACCAATAAGGAAAGGTAGTATGCTGGACCTTGCTCTCACCAACAAAGAGGGACCAGTGGGTAATGTGAAGCTCAAGGATAGCCTTGGCTGCAGTGACCATGAAATGGTTGAATTCAAGATACTTAGGGCAACAAGGAGGGTGGACAGCAAGCTCACTACCCTGGACTTCAGGGGACCAGACTTTGACCTCTTTAGGGGTCTGCTTCATAGAGTGCTATGGGATAAAGCCCTGGAGAGGAATGGGGCTCAGGAAAGCTGGTCAATATTCAAGGGTGATCTCCTTCCAGTTTTCCAGGAGGCCTGCATGGATGAACAAAGAGCTTCTGGACACACTTAGATGCAAGGACAACCTGGGAGGAATACAGAGAGGTTGTCCAAGCAGCCAGGGATCAGGTTAGGCTAAAGCTCAGACAGAATTAAATCTGGCCAGGGATAACAAGAAAAACTTTACAGGTATGTCAGTGTTAATAGGAAGGATGGGCATGACCTGGGTGCTCTCCAGAAGGAAATGGGAGACCTGGTCACAAGGGATATGGAGAAAGCCAAGGTACTCAATTTCTTTGCCTCGATCTTGACTGGCAAGGGCTCCAGCCACACTGGCCCAGTTGCAGAAGGCAAAGGCAGGGACTACAAAAGGGAACATCTGCCCACTGTCATTGAAGGTCAGGTTTGAGAACATCTAAAGAACTTGAAGGTGTGCAGGTCTGTGGGACTCGGCAAGATCCATCTGTGGGCCCTCGAGAGAACTGGTGGATGAAGTTGCTAAGCTGCTTTCTGTCCTATTTGAAAATTCATGCCCGTCTGAAGTTCCCACTGACTGGAACGGGGGAAACATAAACCCCATTTTCAGAAATGAATAAAGGGAAGACCTAGGCAACTACAGGCCAGTCAGCTTCACCTCTGTGCCTGGCAAGATCATGGACCAGTTCCTCCTGAAGGCTCTGCAAATGCACATGGAAAAAGAGGGTGTAATTGTGGCAGCTAACATGGTTTCAGCAAGGCCTGAGAGTGGCCCTTTACATTTGAGTTTTACAGTATCACTGGATAAAGGAAGAGCAACTGATGTCATCTACTTGAACTTGTGGGGCAGTGTTTGACAGTGTCCCGCACAAAATCCTGGTCCATAAATTGGAGAGACATGGACTTGACAGATGGACCACTTAGTTGATGGATGGTTGCAAAGTGAGGTCAACAATTTCAATATTGAAGTTGAAACTAATGATGAGTGGTGGTCTTCAGGGACTGGTGCTGTTTAACATCTTTGTCATTGACATGGACAGTGGAATTGATTGCACCCTCAGGAAGTTTGCAGATGACACCAAGCTGTGTGGTGTAGTCAAAACACTGGTGGGAAGGGATGCCATCCAGAGGGACCTTGACAGGTGTGCCCATGCCAGCCTCATGAAGTTCAACAAGGCCAGGGGCACGGTCCTGCACCTGGGTCAGGGCAATCCCAAGAACCAATACAGGCTGGGTGAAGTATGGATTGAGAGCAGTCCTGAGGAGAAAGACTTGGGGGTGCTGGCTGATGAAAAGCTCAGGCTAGAAAGCAAACCGTATCCTTGACCACATCAAAAGAAATGTAGCCATTAGGTCAGCAGAGGTGATTGTCCCCCTCTGCTCTCATGAGAGCCCACCTGGAATACTGCATCCACCTCTAGAATGCCCAACACAAGGACATGAACCTGTTAAAGCATGTCCAGAGGAGAGCCATGGAGGTGATCAGAGGTCTGGAATGCCTCTCCTATGAGGACAGGCTGAGAGAGTTGGGGTTGTTCAGCCTGGAGGGGAGAAGGCTCCAGGAAGAACTTATTGTGGCCCTCCAGTATCTGGATGGGGTCCTATAAGAAAGAGGAACTTTTTACAAGGGCTTGTACTGGTAAGCTGAGGAGTGATGGGATCAAACTGGAAGAGTGTGGATTTAGATGAGAACTATGAGGGTGGTGAGACATTGGAACAGGTTGCCCAGGGAAAGTGTGGATGCTGTCCCCAGAGGTGTTCAAGAGTAGGTTGGATGGGTCTTCCGTGCATCTTGGTCTAGTGGCAGGGCGGCTGGAACTAATGACCTTTAAAGCCCCTCCCATTCTGTGATTCTCTTGCTGAGGGAACTGGAGTTGTTTAGCCTGGGGAAAAGAAGGCTCAAGGAAGACCTTACCTCCTTTCAGGTAGTTGTAGAGATTGATTGAGAGATGGGTGCCAGTCTCTTATCACAAGTAACAAGTGAATAGGACAAGAGAAAATGGCCTCAAGTTGGCCTGGGGGAGGCTTAGATTAGATACTAGGAAAAACTTTGTCACTGAAGGGGTTGTTAAACCCTGGAACAGGCTGTCCAGGGAGACCTCCCTGGAGGTATTTTAAAGAGGTGTAGATGAAGGTGCTTAAGCACATGGTTTAGTGGTGGGCTTGGCAGTGTGTTATCTTAATGGTTGGACTCTTAACTATGATTTTAAAGGTGTTTTCCAACTGGAATGATGCTGGGATTGTGCAGTCCTGTGATTGTTTTTCATAAAGCCCTGAATATGCGGTAAAGCCTTCAAATTATGGGTTTGCCCATTTTGTGAAGCCTACATTTCTGAAAATTAAAGATGCTTTCTTAGAGCCAGTTGCCCAAGACCACATCCAGAGGGCTTTTGAGTACCTCTGAAGACAGACTCCACAATTTCTCTGGGCAACCTGTGCCAGTGCCTAGTCACCCTCATAGTGAAGAAGGCATTTTCCTGATGTTCAGAGGATAATCTCCTGCTTCAGTTTGTGCCTGTAACCCCTGGTTACTAGGCACAACTGGAAAGAGCCTGACTCCTCCTTTGCACCCTCCCTGCAGGTATTTGCATAGATTGGTGAGAACCCCCCTGAGCTTTCTTTTCTAGGTTTAATAACTTCACATACCATCACTTTATTAGTTACAAATTTCTACAACAAACTATGATCTTTTTAACCTCTTAGAGGTTCATAACCTCATCTGCATGTTAATGCTGGTTCACTGTATGACAAAGGATTTGGTTAACTGATGCTGTTGAACCTTTTTCCCTGGGAACTCTGATCCTTTAGATTTGTGTGCTCTTTATCTTGTTAATATTTTGTGAAACTGGGAGTTTGGGAAGGATTTTTCAAGGAAACAGTTTCTTTGAGGGAAGAAAAGAGCTGTATTCCTTCCACAGATACACTATGTATGTTTGCCAGGATACTACTGCAGATTGGTTTTAAAGTGCTAGTATTACAAGGTTATATTAGAAATAGTTTGGTCTCTATCCAAGGTGTGAATAAACTATATGAATGCTTCTAACAATAACCATCTAATCTTGTGGGTTTTTTCTCACAAAAAATTACCTTCATGTTCTCTTAGGTATATTTCTGTGCAGCCCAAATAAATAGGTAAACCAGTCTGTCCCTGCAGTGTCATTTCTTGCTAGAAGGCAGAACCATCACACAACAATCTGAACCATTTTGAGGGACAAAACAAACTAGGTTCTCTGTATGTAGGAAAACATTAACACAATTTTCTGTGCAAGTCTCTTGTTTAAGTTCATACTGGCTGCTTGCTGGAATTGCATAGGGAGTTTAGTCCTGTGGTGTTTGGTGCATGATACAAGGCATAAACTCCATGTAGTAGATGTTTGGGGTTTTTTTTATATAAAAATAAACAAACAAAACCAAACCAACTTGTCAGTTTTCAGGCGCTGTGTCAAAAGAGCAAAGACCTATTAAAAAAACCCAAGAGCTATCCCTTTATGCCTTCACGTGAAGGCATAGTGAAATGTTGGCAGCAGTCCTCTGATGCATTTGTAATTGGTTCTGGTTGAGCCCTAAATGTGTCTTTTTCTTCCCCAGCTGAGTATTGAGCAGGCCCAGGCTGTGGCGGAGCAGGTGGAGATGAAAGCGAAGGTGGTACAGTCTGAAGTCAAGGCAGTGACCACCAGACATAAGAAGGCCTTGGAGGAGCGGGAGTGTGAGCTGCTCTGGAAGGTACGCGCCTTATGTCCCTGCTTCGAACTGCTGGCAAGGGCCTTTTCAAGCTGAAAACGTGCTGGAAACGAGTATACAGCCAGGCTCCGAGAGCCTCTCAAGGAGCAGTAAATTCAAACACTTGTTTACTGTGATTTCATTCCTCTGTAGGTAGCAGGGTGCTGGATTCTGACCCTGGTTGGTTTTGTTCTTAATCTGAGAAACCGGTCGGGTTTTTGTAGGGACTGGTGTATCCTCACCCAAACTCAGCCCCACGAGTAGGGTGGGCACTCCCCCTGCTGGCTCAGCAGCTGTGCCGTGTCTCACTACTGACTGGGGAAGAGATCACCTTTAAACAACTTGTTTTAAGAATGTCTTTAAAACATCTCTAATATGTTACTGCAGAACTAGGTACATAGTATATGGGGTTTCTTATGTGATCCACTGCTCAAAAAAAAGAGTAGTAAAGCTGTATATGTTGTGTCCTTTTATAGAAAGACTAGACATTCTGCAAGACATACCTAAAAAGTTATTCTCAATCAAGGTAGTGTCCCTCCAGTTGTGTGGGTTTTTTGTGTGTGGTTTTGGTTTTTTTTTTTTAAAAATTGGTAGAAGAATACTCTCTAGCAAGAGTATCTGCAGAGTCCTAAACTCCTGCATTCACTTCAGCCACAATGCATGTATGCTATTTTGAGAGGAGGAAAGTAACAGCAAAGCTGCTTATTCTGCGAAGGTAACAGTGGTCATAGCTTTTCTCTGCTTATTTAGCACAGGTTATTTGGAATTGGCCATTTGGGTCACACTTGTACAATTGAACAGAAACACACTGCTGGTGGATTAGGTCAGTTAGTCAAACTGATCTGTCCTGTGACAACACAATTGCTAGTAGTGGAACAGGGAAGCAAAAATGTGTGGCCCGAGACGAGAGAAGTTTAGGAGTAAATAGAGAGCTCCTCAGTTGACAGTGTGGCAGGAA